TATTTATTTATTTAGGGTGACCGGAACCAAACAGCTCTTCATGTGGCTCTTGTGATGTGACCTTCGGGGCAGCATCAGCTTCGCGCATGAAAGCGAGGCCAGCTCATTTCGGGGGGCTGAGTCGTGAATTGTCGAGTCGGTGAAATCACAGATTGACTCTGTCCCCTGCACATGTTGCACGCCATGTACGCGGCCGGTGCCGAGAGAAGTTGCGTCGCTGCTTTCGGCACTCCAAACACAGGCCCCATAAAAGAAGCATGTCACCCGTGAGTCATTTGAGTCTTTGGCCTTGTGGCAATTTTGCATTTCTCCATCGCTGCCTTGTCACGCATCGGGGTAAAGGTTGACGGCTTGCCGTGCTCGGACACAACCGGCTTTTATTATCTTGGCTATTGAACGCGCACGCTTTTGGTCCCGCGCTCCAGGTTCATCCATGGTAGCGGTACAAGTGAATGCTTGGCTTTGCATACCGTCAAGTGAGCAGAACGAAAAAGCACGTGACGCTTTCCAGCTGGGATACGCGGCACAGATCCGTGCTACCGTAGCATCGTCATCTTGCACATTTCCGGCTTGCGAGGTGCCTTCCAAGAGCCAAGGCAAAACGAAGCAAGAGCACGAAAAAAAGACAAAGAATCCCGACAGCAGTAGATGCTTGGGTCAGTTCTTGCTTAACGTAGTTCTGCTCACCACCGCATTTTACTTTTCCTGGAAGCATGAGGGTCAGGGGTCGTGGCCTCCACCGGCATGGCTCAGAATGCATGACACTGTGAGAAGCACAGCCTGCAGCAGAATTGGCTTCAGACCTAGGAAAGAGAAGCAGAAGAAGCGGAAGCAAAAGGCAAGCGACGACAGCGACGAGGACTTCCACACACTTTCACCCTCACGGCACGGACCATCGGACCATACTCGGAAGTTTCGCTCAAGGAGAAGTCGGCAAGCGAGGTGTCCAGCCCAAAGTCGGATGGGCAGCAAGTTAATGGGCAGAAGCGCAAAGCCGCAAAGTTGCTTGTATGCGATGAGACAGCCACACTCTTATCATAAAGCCATGTTCTTGCTGTGGTCCTGTGGATCACTGGATGGCTGTTTCGCCCGTTTGTGTGGTGACGGCATCCCAAAGGAACGCCAAGGAGAAGAAGGCACGGATGAAGGAGGACAAGCTTCTTTTCGGAATTGAGCCTGCTCATCGCCAAGAGAAAGTCGCACCGGACAGTTGCACAGATCAGTCCCAAATCCGAACTCGTCATCTCTGTTCCGCACAAGCAAGTTGGAGGAGAGAAAAGTGAAGAGCCAGATGAAGGCCAAGAGCAAAACGAGCCTTGACGGCAAGAGGGGTGGGGATCAAACAAACATCAATTTGGAGATCAAACAAAACTCAGATTTGCTGCAACGTACAGTATTTGTGGACTGTGAGCACTGACGAACCGATATTCCTCTCTCAAGGTTTGAATTTCCTCGCAGGCCAGACAGGAAGTGAGGAGGGGCGGGAGGGAGGGAGGAAGGAAGAAAGGAAGGATGGCAGAGCAGGAAGACAGCAAGCGGATAGGAAGACAAGGAATGAAGTTTTCCAGACAGGAAGAAACGAAGAAACTCCCCTCTAAAGCCGAGGCAAGCCAAACCGAGTCCCGCCGAGCTCCGTACCATCGTTGCGTGGATGGACAAAATCTTGCACCACTTGTAGCACTTTTCATAAACTTGCTTTAGTGATTCCTCGCGCCCCCTTTTTCACATTGGCTGTGAAAAGCTACTGGCCGGAGTGGCCGAAATCTTGCACAGTTCAATAGGCCTGGCTGCCGATGTCAAATAGGGCGTGTGGCTTGATGCTTCAATCGTTTGAAGTNNNGTGCAAGATTTCGTCCATCCACCGAATAGCGTCATCGCGGACGATGCGAGCAGGAAGACTGTTCATTCAAGCCAACTGTTTATTGTTGCGGAATTTATGCAAGTCCTTCATGGGCAGTGTTTCTGGGGGCAAGGGGCCAAGCCAAACCAAACTGTTTCAAGCACTGCCCCTGCTCAGTACCATCGTTGCTCTACAGACTACGTGCCGACAGGGTGCTCTTTTGTCTCGTTATCCGGAGTAGGCAGTGGGACCAGCACTGCAAGGCGTGAAATTCGACTGGAATGCCTTTATTGCCATTACGTTTGCTGTTCCTGTTCTTATACCTTTACCAAGTAACCGACTGTAACCATCATTGTCTTACCATGCTCTTCCTATTGCTGACGGTTAATCTTGCGATAATTCGTGCGATTACTACTGTTATTTCATTTACTGTTATATGAGTGTTTGCAATATTACAAATACGGTTATATTTTGTTTTGGGCTTTTGCTGCTGTTTCTTCTTTGTGCCATGAGTATTACCTGCACCATTGCTAACAGGATGACGCATACTGCGAAGTCTGTTACTATTGTTGCTACTATAACTTCCATATATGCGATTATTACTATTTCTGTTGTTCCTACTGTTGCTACCTGTGCTACTTTTCTTTTATTACTTCTACTTCTACTGCTACTGCTA